CACTTTATGGGGGTGTTCACTTCATGGGCCCAGACCCAAAACAGCTGAGGGTGTCTGTATTCACAGTGTTGTGCACACACCCCCTCCAGAAGTTCTAGAGCTTCTGCATCACTCCAGAAAGAAACACTGCACCTGCAACCGTTACCCGGCGCGCCCCCTGCCCTGACCCCAGGGACTACTGATCTGCTGTCTGACCCTGTGGATTTTCTTCTCTGGACATTTCACGCCACAGCATGGCCACGTGGTCTCTGCGTGTGCTTCTCCACCCAGTCACGTGTCCATGCTTTTTTTGGGTCGCTTTCAGGAAAATTCACATCGCAGCCATCTTCACCACTTCTAGGGACAGCTCAGTGGCATCAAACACATTCACACTGTTGTGGGACCTTCCGCACCCTCCGTCTCCAAACTGCGTCCCCTCGCCTAAGTGGAGACCTGTCCCCATCAGACACTGAATCCCCTCCCCTCCCCCAGCCGCTGGCCCTTGCGGCCACCTCCTCTCTCCGGATGCGACTCCCGGGCCCTGCTGTGAGTGGGTCACACGGTGTGTGTCCCTCTGTGACTGACTTGTTTCACGCAGCACCCATCCCAGGGGGCTGAGGGAGGTTGTCGTGAGTATGGGTACTTGATTCTTTATAGGATCATGTGCCGTGGACGCCTGACCTTGTAAATAAAAAATTTCCTGATGCATGGCCACCCCGCTCCTCTACACATGGAGCCAGGCGGGGCTCCCCGCACGGGAGCCGAGCAGCGTGGCCCGGCAGCCCGGAGACTCAGTCCCTCCTGCAGCAGTTGTGAAGGTCACGTGTGCAAAGGCCCTGGCGAGAGTTAACGTCACTGTCACGAGAAGTTACTTTGACTTGCTTCGTCTCCAGTCCCGGAAGAGCGTTATTCCAATTTTATGGAAGGTAAACTGAGGTGTGAGGTGACTTACGGAAGTCACGCCAGCTCACAAAACCAGCGAGTGACAGGTTTGGGCCTTGGCCTGTGTCTCCAGGATTTACCCATCAAGTCACGTGGTCTCCTCGGAAGTGAATCACAGGCTGACACAGGACCCAGCAATCCCACCGCTAGGAATCAGAAAGACCCGTGTCCACACAACATTAGTGCGGAGGCTTTTGTTTGTAGCAGCCTCATCATAACGCCAACGTTCACAGTTCACTGACGAGTGAGCGGATAAAGAAAACGTGATATCGCTGTAACTAAAAACACAGCCTCCAAGTAGCCAGTGGGTACGTGAAAAGCCACCGTGTCGCCGGTGCTCCCGGGAGCGTGGATCAACCCGCAGTGAGCCGCCACCTCACGCCCTTCAGACACTAAGACACAGCAGCAGGATCGGCACGATGCGGAGAAAACGGAAGCCCCAGGCACGGGCTGGAAGCGAGGCCCAGGGCGAAGCTGCTGTGGGAGGGACGGCGGCTGCTCCAGAGTCGAAAGCAGGATTATCGGAGGATCCAGCAATTCCACTTCTGGGTCGAAAGCCAAAGCAATTGAGAGCAGAGCCTTGAAAGGACATGTGCACACCCACGTCCACGGCAGCATGATCCACGGTCGCTACGATGGAGAAGCAGCCCACGTGCGCGTCTCGGAAGAACGCACAGCAGGAGTGGGCAAGGCCAGGAAGCCATTACACAGGGGGATTCTGGCAGGTGGCAAACCTGGGGACAGAGTGCTGAGGGAAAGGAGCCGACGCGGGGCCTCCCTGGTGGCGCAGGGGTAAAGCCTCAGCACTAGGAAGCCCTCCGCTGCCCCTGCAGCCTGAGTTCGATCAGGGCCGGGAGCTGACCCACAGGGCGCAGCAGTCCCCACTGCTCCCCTCAGCAGTGTGTTTCAGGGGGTCTGCCTGTTCTGCTCCCCACTCTGTGTCTGGTGAATCCTCTTACCCCCTGCACTTCTGGCCTGCACCCCAGTTCTGTATGCATAAATACATAAATTTTAAAAGGAAAAAGGCTCACTGAGCCTTACCCTTCATCAGGTATGTGACTGACATGTACCTGCACAAAGGCATTTATAAAAAAGGGTCTTTATTTAAACTGGGGAGGGAGAATAGGGACCAGCTCCCCAACGGGAACTTCGACACTGGACATCTGGCTGGAGGGCAGACAGGCAGTTTCAAACAGCACTGCGCCCCTGCATCCAAGAGCCTTAGAGGGTCCCAATTCTATGACCCCATGTGTTGGTGGGGTCCCTGTGAGTGTCGGTATGATGACTCGTCCCCCAACTCTTTAAAAAGATACCCTTTGACCTCCAGAGGCTGCCAGCAGCTCCCTGGCTCCCTGCCAGGGCACGCTGGCACGCAGGCTTCATTCCACAGACGGCACGGCTCCCTCACCTGCTGCGCCGGTTCTTCGGCTGTCACATGAGCACTGGGGGTGGCCTCCGCCTCGCTGGAAGACATCTCTCCGAAGCAGGCGCTGCGGACAGGTGGACTTGTCAGGGGAGAGCCCACCTCGCCCCAGTCCCACTCCTGTGGAAGCTGGGCCCACACCTGCCCTCGGAACCCCCGTTTCCTAGAGTTCACCTCTGACCTTTAACACGCGCTGCAGGGCTGTCCCAGGGCTGGCCGAGGGCCCTTCTATCACACCCCAGGCGGGGCTGAAGCAGCTGGTCCTGGGGCCACACGGAGGGGCAAAGTCTGAGCACAGCCCTCCAAGGGTTCACCTACATCAACCAGCGGGGAGTCACCCACCGTGCAAAACCTCTGTGGCGAGCAGCTTGCCAGTAAGCTACCAGGTTTCAAGAGGCCTCTCCCCTTTGCCCCAGAAAGCTCTCTTGGGGAGCCATCCACACCTGTGCTGCCACGTGGCAGGGGTATGCATGCATGTGTCACAGGACACTGGAAACTCCCTCTTTGCCCAACAGAAGGGGATTTAAAAAATAAAGTGTAGCCCAGGGAGGTGGCTAAAGCGTAGAAAGGGAATGTCTTCACAGGACCAAGACACTGTTGGGAGACCAAGGTATGCGCTCTCCTGCCTGCCGTGACTTTGGGGGTGTCCCTCCTTTTTTTTTTTTTCTCCTTTCCTGGTAAGCTTGTCCTTTAAAATGTAAAAAAAAAAAAAAAGAAAGAAGGCGCCAAAAGATATGAATGGGAAGTTTTTGCTCGTATTTGCATAGAATTGCTAAGGAAACAGGAAAGGAAAACAGTGTCCACCTTTCAGGGAGAAAGGTCAGGTCCTAGGGCACCTCTCTGATTTTCCATCAGGTAGGTAGCATTACCTGCTCTCCCCCAAAAAGCTGAGCTTAAGAAGAGTGACCATACCTGCCCCAGTCAAGTCAGAGTAAGGGCGTGGGGAGGTCTGGGGAGGTCCTGAGCGTGTAGCTAGTGCGGGTGTGAGGAACGACGCCTGGGTGAGATGACAGTCACGAGTGACTCCATCTCCTGGCCAGGTGAGGTGAGATCAGCCTGGGTGAGATGACAGTCACGAGTGACTCCATCTCCTGGCCAGGTGAGGTGAGATCAGCCTGGGTGAGATGACAGTCACGAGTGACTCCATCTCCTGGCCAGGTGAGGTGAGATCAGCCTGGCCCAGCAGACTCGATTCCACACCCATGCTCTGTGCTCAAGAGGCTAAAGGTAGTATTTAGCCTAAGGCTAAAGAACCTGCCCCGCAGGCTGGGTCCTCAAGCAGTGCTGGGGTGAGCCCCAGAGCCCCAGAACCTCCATGCGCGCTCCTTCCCAGAGAGGGGGAGTCTGGGCTCCTGGCCGAGGCGCTGCACCTGGCAAGCAGAGCTGAGCAACACTGGTATTTTGAGAGAGCCAGTTCTGGAGCTCAAACCAGGTGTTTTGTTTTTTCATTTCCCCAGGAGGGGGAGCTCCCCCGCCCCGGGGTCTTATTTGCTTCATCTGTAAAGTGGGGACAACTATTCCAGACAAAATCCTGCAGACTCTAGGGCGAGCTCCCTGCCAGCACCTGGTGGATGCTCAACAAAGAGAACACTCCTCTCCAGTAGACAGTGAAATCACCCAGGAATGAGCCTCCTGCCTGCTACAGAGACCCCCAGCAGCTTAGTGGGCCAGGAGGCACATCTGCCTGAGACCCCCATTCTGCTCACCTTCCCTGGAGTCTGAGCTTGCGTGGGCAGGACATGGAGGTCCTTCTCCCCCACCCCCATGCCCATCAGCTCCTCCTGGACCTAGTTTAACCAAGAGTGGCCAGTGCAGATGCCAGCACCCCATTAAAATCCTTAGGGGCGACAGCCTGCAACTCGTGCAGCAGAACTAGCAGGGTCTGCGTGGCACCAGCCGAAACCGGCTGCAGCCGGGGCTTGCTAAGAGCCAACTTGTAAAGTTCCCAGAGACCGAGGCCCCTCTTCTAGCCCTGCCAAAGGTCCCAAGGACTCAGATAAAGAGTAGACCTTACACTGCAGGCCTTGTGCAAGCCCCTGGCCACACCCACCGAAGGGAAGGGGCGGGGCTGGCTCAAGACCTCGCCAGCGTCTGGCGGGGCAGAAGTTGAAGCCAGGAGGGCACAGACCCAGGGGCGAGTCCCTCTGGAGGAAGATGGCTTTGCTCGGCAGAAGGGTCGGCGCTGGTCGGAGGGGGCAGGGGGTCTTTCCTCTGAAGACTCAGGAGGCGGAATTCCGGCACAGACGGGCTTCAGCGGCAAGGGAGGCTTCCAGCCTCCAAACTGCGTTAGCAGAGCAAGGACACCTCTAACATTTAAAGGGCTGTGGCTTGGGGTGACGGAAATAGCCCTCCACCCTCGACACTGCCGGCTCCAAGGGGCTCTTTAGCGCCCCCCGCCGATGCCAACCTTCCCCTCCCCGTCCCGTTAATGTCCTAGGAAGGGAGCCTGATCCACAAGTTGGGTGGATGGGGGGGTCGGGGTCAGGGGAGGCGCAGAAAGGGGCCTACAGCCCAGGCCGAGATCCACCCCCAGGCCGCAGACCCTCGTGGAGACCACGGGAAGGCCCTCCCCGCCCCTTCCCCCCCGGGAGGGGGGCTCAGGACTAGTGGGACCCAGCCCCGACACTGCCACCGGACACCCCGCCTCTCACCAGTCAGCGGGACGTTCAGGGCACGGCGCGCACAACCTCAGAAGGAGCTTGGAAACTGGGCTGGGCGGGGGCGGGCTTTTATAGCCAGGGGCGGACGGCCCGGGCACGTGGTGGTGACTAACCGGAAAGCCAAGGGAGGGGGGGCCCGCTGCCTCCAGGCCACGCCCCCTCCTGGCTTGGGACATTGAAGCCGCCAGTGAGTTCAAAGGGGGCGGGGCCTGGGACCCGCGACCAGCGACCCCCCTTCTTGCCAGGAACGGGAGCCCCCCGCCCCCGTGTGACACCTAATCCAGCCAGGGACGCCCCCTCCCTGCTGAAGGGTCCTTCATTTCGTCCTGGGAAGGGAAAGCAATAGGCGATCTGAGTTTCCCTGGCCCCCCCCACTTCTGTGTGGCCAAGCTGCATCTGTGAGAACAGACACGTTTAACGACCCCGGGAGAAAGAGGCCCTGTGCTCCTGACCCTGGGCCTGAGGCTGGGCCAAATCTGATCCAGTTGCATGAGCAGCTTCAATCCCAGAAGTGCAGTGACCTCCATGAGCCTCCTGCCCTCTTGGTCCACTTTGGGCCACTTAGTCTCCCCAACTTTACATCTACCTTTAGTATCCCCATTTTACACATGAGAAAACTGAGACCCAGAGATGGTCCGTCAGGGGCAGTGCAGGGGCTAAGCCCTAGATTCTCTGACTCCTGGATCAACCTCTTCCTGAAGCTCTGCTCCTGGCATTCCTCCTCCCACTCAAGCATTCTTTATAAGCCCAAACCTCAGAGTCCCAGCTCCAAGGGGATTCCAGGCTGTAGAAGTAAGTTGTCTGTTAGAGACTGTTGGACCAAAAAACCCCCACTAGGACTGTATCTATCCCTTGGGGGAGGAGTGGGAGTCTCCTGTTTGCCACCCAGCTAAGGTTGCCAGATAAAATACAGGATGGTGCCCAGTTAAATTTGAATTGAATTTTTGGCAAATAAATATATTCCGTGCAGTATTTGGGATATACTGGAAAATGACGCCGTTGAAGTGAAATCTAAATTGAGTTAGGCATCTTTTATTTGCTCAATCTGATGATGACCTTCCCCCCCACACACCCATGTCCCTTTCTCTGCTCCAGTCTTGTTGACATGGAGACTGTCACCTCTCAGTTGGGGGCAGGGGGCCTAGCCACACTCCTATAGAGAGCCCCAGCGCGGGAGGCTATCTTGAGCTCTGTCTTAAATTACTAAGGTCTGATCATGATCTTCCCCATTTTCTGGATGACAAAACTGAGGATCAGAGCCCATGTAACTTGCTCTTAGGTAAGTGGGTGCCATGAATCTGGACTCTGAGTTGTCTGTCTTCCAGGTCTTTGTGTCTGATGGACTCTCTCTCCCTCTCCTCCCTCTTTCTCCCCCTCCTCTCCTCCCTTCTCTCCATCTTTGTCAGAGGGCTCAGAAAACGTGCCTGCTGAGCCTGAGAGGGACAAGCAGGAGCGCCCGATGCCACAAGATGGCGCTGTTTGATCCCAGATTGTTTTCTGCCCCATCCAGGTGTTGCGCCATCTGCTGGTCTTGACCACCCACCCACCCATTTATCAAGCATCTCCTATGAGGCGGGAGCCAGGACAGGGGTGACGGTGAGAACGACGTGAGTCACTATATTATGTGCAGTCGTTATATTCTGCCCCTGCTGAACGTGCTGTGTGCTGGGACCATGCTAAGGAGCCCCGGGCCCCCAGTCTGGACCTCACCCTCCCCATGCTCAGTCCTTTGGGGAGACAAATGGGACCACCAGGGCCACATTAAGATTCTTGCAAGCCCAAAGCACTTTTGCCATTTAAGGGCTCTCCTTCCATGAAAAAATTATTACAGATGACTTTTCCAATTGCATTGCAGTTTGGTGTGTTTTTTTTTTCTTTCGATTTTAAGAGAAATTTAAATGAAACCATTGTGGGCCCCTAAAAGCATTATGTACCCTGGATCTCTTGAGCCTGAAGGAGTGCTGACGGGTGACCAGGTGGGTAAATGGACATTGAACAGGCGATGATGGGAAGGTGCAGGGAGGGGTGTCCCTAGAAGGCATCCCTGAGGAAATGACATCTAATCTGAGCCCTAAGATATGAATGTTGGAGAGGAGGGGGGGAGTTGTCAAGCAGGTGAAGGTACTGGAGAGCTGTTGCAGGCAGAGGGAAGGGAGAATATTGCCTGGGGTAGATGTCAGGAAAGAGGTGGAGATAGAATTAGCCTGGAAGGACAAGGGGGTCTAAAGGGAAGCAGCGTGTGGGTCAGGAGAGGTCTGCCGCGCCATGTGGATCTCCTCCGGGGCAGGCGGAATCGAACTCATGCAGAAGTGGCTTAAGCTTCTCAGTGCTGTGCTTTAACCCGCTGCGCCACCAGGGAGGACCAGAAATATAATTTTTAAACACAAGTATATCCCAGACATCACAAGGGACATACTTATACTAAAAAACAAAAACAAACAAACAAAAACCAACGAATCATTTACTTGCATGTCCTGTATTTTTTCTGGCAATCCTAAACCCAGGCCAGGACAGGCCTGCTCTTGTCTTTCCCCATGCTGCCGCTCCAGCCGGTCAGTGGACAGTCTGACCAACTGTAGCTGGATGGCCAGGAGGCAAAGAAGGCCAGGTTTTGTCCTCCAGGCCCATCGCTGTGGGAAGCCAGGGGTCTTTTAACATGCAGACCCTGGCCCGTCCCGCCCCCCAGCCCTCATGGCGCCAGCTGCCGGCTGCCCCCCCCACATGGCTGCGGGTGATGGCGGGTTTGGGGGAGGGGAGCTACTCTGAGACCCACCATCCCCTGGGTTCTCCAGTCCCAGGCCAGGCAGGACCCCATGGGTACCCCCAGGCCTGGAATGCCCGGTCCAGAGTCAGAAGAGCAAGGAGCCGCCACATGGCCTTTGTCCCCCAGGCCATGGTGGCCCATCCAGCAGGGAACCCTGACCCCTCCTCTGAAGTCCTGCAAAGAGCGGGCGACTTCCTTGTCAGAATGTACAGGAAGAACAGAGGCCCTGGGCCAGCTGACCAGGAACTAAATCCCTGGGGCTGTGGCTGCCCACCCAGCCGCCCCCACACCCAGTAGTCTTGTCTGGGGTGGCCGGGCCTGGCGGCTCCGGGCACAGCCCTCCGCATGCCAGCTGCCAGGATGTGGCAGTCACGTTGGCGGGGAAAGAACATGCCGTTCTTGGCTGTGCTGGCTGCCCCTTTGTTCCTGGGTGGAGGTGGGGGCTGTCGTCCTGGCAACCAGCCCTTTCCCCAAAATGTCGGCACTAGAGGTGAAATTGGAGGCACCTTGGGAGCCAGGGGGTCCCTGTCACCCAGCCTCGCAGAAGAGCCCCCTCCCCCGCGGCTCTAGCTCCAGTCTCTGGGACCCTGGAGCTGCCAGTCACTTCCTTGGGGATTGGAATGCCTGATGGTGGCAGCGGAGGGGGTGGGGGTGATTCCCAGCGGGGGCAGGCGCCACAGTAGCAGCTGCTGGGGGGTCTCCCTCCCCTAGTCCTGCGTCCCCTGAGTTGGAGGCTGCAGCTGGTGAGGGCAGTGTAGTTTCCGGGGGTGTTATTTTGGGGGTGGGGGCAAGAGACCTTGAGAGGGGGCCCCTGAGGCAGGAAATGAGGCGGCTCCAGCTGTGTTCTCTCGTTGGCCCACCTGGTCCAGCGGGCACCACCAGCCACCGCACAGGAAGTGTTCCCAGCGTTGGCTGTGTGGCCCCCTAAATTTGGGGCCCAGGGGAGGCAGCCAGCAGGCAGGGTGCCGGGGTCAGAATCTTCCATGAGACCCCAGCGGGGGTAACGAGGCCTCTTGGGGAGTGATCACACTTACTTTGGCGGGTGTGGATTATGCACATCGCAGATTGCTGATTGGTCTGGATTTTGCAGATGGGGAAACTGAGGCTCCAAGATGCAAGTGACTCTATCAAGGTCATATATAGCACATGAACAGTGGGGCTCAGAACCCCATTAGCATTTATGATCAGGTCTGTTAACACAGGCCTCCAACCCATTACAAGGACAGGGCTCTCCCCCAGAGCAATCCTGCCCCTGGGGGTCCACTGGGTAATATCTAGGGACATCTGTGGTGTCACGCAGGGGATGCTTCAAGTGAGTGGGGTCACAGATGTTCCTCAACACCTCCCAGTACACAGGATGCCCCCACCCCAGAATGATGGGCACCAGAGAGTAGTGTCAAGATATAAAATACGAACAGATAGAGCTATTATTATTATTAAATATGATACTGCATTTAGGGTAATATTTTTCTCCTACTGTATTTAGGAGAAACCCAAGGCCCAGAAAGTCTGTATTTTGACCTCCTCACCCTTCCCTAGTAGCCGTTATCCCTGGTTGATTCCACAGCACCCTTTGAAGCTTTACAACAGGGAAACTGAGCTTCAGACAAAGAGAAGCCAGTGAAGACTGAAGCCTAGCACAGGCCCCACGGCTCTCCTGGGGCAGAAGTCAGGCCTGCGGTGCTAGGCCCACTCAGACCACCCAGGTCCCACCCAGCTCCGCCATCCCTACTGGCAGCATGGCCAGCCGCTTGCATGCCCCTGCAACCTGCCCCGCCTTAGAGGAAAAGCAGGAATAGCCACTGAGGGCCTCCCTGGTGGGAGGCAGCACTGTGAGGCTATCTGCAGCCCCTGCAGCACGAGTTCGAGCCCCGGCCAGGGAGTGACCCACAGGGTGCAGCAGACCTCTCCTGTCTCCCTGCTGCTCCCCTCAGCAGTGTACTTTGTCAATCTGCCTGTTCTGTTCCCCACTGTGTCTCTGGTGGATCCTCTCACCCCACCCCCTGCACCTGCCTGCACCCCAGTTCTGTGTGCATCAATAAATCTTAAAAAAATAAAAGGAACAGCCACAGTGGTTCATGGCAAGGCAGTGGTTCAAGGCAGTGCTGCTGGCTGAAAGCACTTGGGAGAAGCACTGCACCCTGCGCCCCAGCGGGCCCATCTGCACGACAGGGGCGGCTAACCATGGCCCCTAACTCACGGCGGTGGGGAGGAATGACCGAGGCGTAGGGAGGAAGGTTAGCTCAGTGCCCAGGACGGAGGCACTGCATAGGGGCTGGAGGACGTTTTCTTGGGCCCGACAGTCAATTGTTTCACGCACGACGGAGTGGGGGGCAGAGGGAGGAAAGAGCAGAGGAAAACACACACGTCGGGGCAGGCTGTGGCGGAACCAAGCTGTGGTTTTCTGCCTGGGAACCTCTTCTTGGTCTGGTGGAACAGAGTTCTGGAGTGAAGCAGCAGGGCCCTCTCGGCTCCTGTCTGCTGCTCGATTCACCAGCAGCATCTCTGCCGCCACCTCCAGCCCGGCAGGAGTGTCTTTCATCGATCAGCTCCCAGTCCAATCGGAATCTGATGGCCTCATTGACAAACGCTCCACTTGCAGTAGTCTCTTCAGCTTGCTAAGTGGTATGTGCCTTAATCTTACCTGGAGCGCAAGCCGTCCTGCCTCACCACCCTCAAATTGATACGATCCTTGCTTAACTCAGACTCTGCTCCTTCCTGGGGCTTTCACCAGCCGTAGTGAGCGCCGGAGTGTCTTCAGCTCCTTTCCAAAAGAGGCACCAATTCTGCCCTGAACAAGCACACCGGCAGCACCTGAGGCTGCAGAAGATGCTGGATCTGGCTGCTACTTGAATTTTTTTAAATAGTGGTAAAATACACATAATGCACAATTTGCCACCGTAACATTTGTGAATGCATGGCTCAGTGGCATTACGCGTGCTGGGGCATTGTGGTGCCACCATCCTCGCCATCTGATCTGGAACTTTCCTTTCCCGGGCTGGAGTGCTGTCCGCACTCAATGCAAGTCCCCACGCCCTCCCCCAGCCCCGCTACCCTCCTCTGATGCTGTCTATGGAGCTGGCTCTGCCGGAGACCTCCTGGGGGTGGATTCAGTCTTTGTCCTTTGTGTCTGGTTTATTGCACTGAGCATTACCTCCTCAAGGTCTGTCCTTGGAGGCTGGATAATATCGCACTGTCTGGATGGACAATGTTTATGCATTCACCCATGGACACTGGGTTACTGGACCAACGTGGTGGTAACAGGAAGGGCAAGGATTTTGATGGTGGAGCCAATAGTATTTGCAAGGAGGTGGCTGGGGAATGTGTGTCTTTTTAAAAGACCTATTTATGCACACAAGAACTGGGGTGCAGGCCAGAGGTGCAAGAGTGAGAAGAATCACAGAGACAGCATGGGGAGCAGAACAGGCAGATCCACTGAAATATACTGCTGAGGGGAGCAGCAGGGAGACATGAGAGGTCTGTTTCCCCTGTGTGTCACTCCCTGGGGGAGGCAGTAGGAGACAGGAGAGGTCTGCTGCGCCCCATGGGTCAGCTCCCTGGGGGAGACTGTGGGAGACAGGGGAGGTCTGCTGCACCCCGTGGGTCACTCCCTGGCTGGGGATTGAACTCATGCTGCAGGGGCTGCAGTGGCTGCAGCTAGTTTTGTAGTGCTGTGCTTTAACCCCTTGCGCATCAGGGAGGATCCTTTCAGGTGGGTTTTCACTGAAAAGGGATCTGAGGAAGGACCAGGTGAAGGCAGGGATGGGAGGAGGAAGATGAGACATAAGTTTAGCTGTGCCCACGTGGAGTCTGCGTCCCTCCAAACGTGCAGCTGCGTCGGTTACAAGGAGAGACGAGAGGATCTCTACTAGGGGCGATTGTGCTCTGCGGGACACCTGGCAACAGCTGGAGTCATTTCTGGTTATCACGACTGGGGCAGGGCAGGGTGGGGAGGGCTGTGACATCGAGCAGTAAAAACTGGACAAGCTGCTCAGCATCCTAAGTGCAGACCATCCCCGCAGTGAGGGTGCTCTGACCCCAATGTGAGTGGTGTAGAGATGACGCGAGCATGTGATACACCAGTGCAGCGTCAAGCAAGCCCCGATCTCAGTGAAGGTTGTTTACGCAATGAAGTTTTACTCACTATGTATGCCACAGTCATACTTGGCCTGCTGGGCTGCCTCTTCCACCCTGGCCTCTCCAGAAGAACGAAACTCCAGTGGAAGGTTTGTGAAAATCAGACTGGGACATACATCACCTCTTGCATCGCACTGGTCACGTCGGTCATGTGGTTTCACCTAAAGCAAGAGGTGCTGGGAAATGAAATCTAGCCTTGTGCTGAAGAGGAAGAAGGAAATAATTTGGCTTAAAAAAAAAAAAAAGAAAGGAAAAAAGAGGCCGGTCCCTGACACATCATTATCATTGTGTAATTTCCTGAACATACTTCTGCCCCCATGTGCTTTCTCAACTCTGTCCCATCCACGATGCCCAGGGCGCTACACACACTAGAGCAGGCAAGACCAGCCCCGTGACCCTTGCCGCTCCCCCCAAAAGTCTTTTTTGTTTTTGATCAATCACCCCAGAGTTGGATCCTTTTGTCCAATGAAAGGAAAACCACTTGCTCAAATCTGCAGAGGCAAACCCCACCCTTGTCCAGCAAAGATACTCCAGACAACCAGCAACCAGGACCCCTACTCCAGTAAGCTCTTATAGTGAGGCCCTAAAAATGTGATTACAAGGGAAGGGTCTTTCCCTGTAAGAAATACTGATTTCAAAAAAGAAATAACAAATCTGTGCACCCCGTTTGTCCTGCCTCCTCCCCCAAAAGTTGGATTTAAGATAGTGGCAGTCGGCACTATCCCAACTTGTCTTCTGGAATCTTCTGAACTGCACAGGGCCTGCCAGTGAAGTTTATATAGCTCCCGTCAGTGTGGCTGATGGGGCGGGGGTGCTGCTGTGTGAGGCAGGTGGGAGTACATTGTATCCCCTGGGTAACTGGGGAGCTCTTTTCTCTCGTCAGCCCCAAACAGGCATACTCTGGCCTATTCCTTCAGTCTTGGCCTAGCGGGGTCTTAGCCCAGAGTGCCCTGGGGGCCCAAAGGAGATTTCAAGTAGAGGAGTGAGGTGGCCTGACTTATGCTAGATATGTTGTGTTTGCTTAGGGAATGGGGTTGCCAGGTAAAATCCAGGATACCTAGTTCCATCAGAACATAATGATGAATGCTTTTTTAAAAAACATGAACAAATCCCAAATACAGCATTGGGACATACGAAAAAAAGTGTTGTTCCTCAGAAATTCAAATTTAACTGGGCATTCTGGATGTGTTTTTTTCCAGGAGGATAGAAGTTGGAGGACAAGATCAGGAGCTAAGAGGACCGAAGTGGATATAAGTAGCATCTCTGGTCCCCACCACTTGGTGCTGGGGGCACCCCATAATCCTCTCAGTTGAAGCAGCTGATCATCCAAGCAGACTTCAGCAGGGACCCCGAGGGCAGAGGACCAGCGGTCCGGGTGGTGTGGGAGCCAGGAGGGGCTGGCTCTGGAGGTTGAGTCCAGGAAGATTCCCTTTGTCCTCCCCATCCGCTCCTGAACTTTCTACAGATGGGAGAAGTGGACGCCACACTGACTGGAGCTTGGAAGGCTGCAAGCAATGTGCTACCCACACCCAGGATCCTCTGAAAATTATTTAGGTAAGAAATACAGGTAGAGACTGATAAAGTCTTTACTCTTTAGAAATTTGGGTACTTAACTCTGCAGATTCTGGCTCACAGGTTAACACGCCCTCCCCTGGCAGAGGGCAGTGGTCTGAGTCCACTGGGGCACTGATGATGATAATGGGGGCCTTGGCCTTCACGCTGGTGAGGGACCAGGGTAGGTGGACGGTGCTGACCAGCTCGTAGTGAGTGCTCATGATCTCGCAATCTGTTGTGCTGCTGCTGACGGACAGCACCTGAGGGAGGTTGAAGGCGCTGACGATCTTGGTGGTGTTGAAGGGTGTGATCTGGGTGTTGGCTTCCTGCCGCAGCAGCTCGCTGCTGTCCACTCGAGACCGCTGCTCAGCGTTGGGCGTGAAGCCCTTGTACAGCACGTGGGCATAGAGGGCGGAGATGACGGTCTTGATGCACTTGCTGGTCTGATTGTTGATTTCTGTGGTGAAAACGATCCTCTCCCCTGGCATGAAGATGTTCTTCTCCATCTGGATTTGTAGGCAGATGGTTCCTTGACTACAGCAGTTATAGGACACCTTCTTCTCAGTTTGCACGAACAGGGGATTCTAGAAGTTGGAAAAGGGGGAGGCAGACAACGGTTGGGGATCATGGCCACAAGCGCCACCCACCGAATATTCCACCTTGATACCTCCCACAATCTCTAGGCCTTCGGAGACACTCCTGTGAGGGGCACTGAAGCCTTCAGGATTTTATACTCCAGACCCTACAATCGTCTTTAATCAAGGCCTTTTGCCATCCTGAGTATCAATTTCCTTATCTGTCAAATAGGTCTAAGAAATCCACAAGGTCCTGACTTAATCCCCAGCTCCATTACTTACTGCCGTATATCCTGGAAAAGTGACTTGACTTCTTTGAGCCCTAGTTTTCTGGGAGACAGGGAATGTCTTTCTGTCTAAGCTTTAGACCTCTGGTTTATCCAAATACTGCAGAAAACTCTACAGGCCCTGAGTCATGAAAAGCAAAGGGTAGAGTGGAAATGACGTAATGTGCTTCAAGTGCTTAAAAATGCCTCGTAATGGAAAAAAAAATGTGCAAAATGATGTAAAAATAAACTTTGTAATAAAAAAAATACTCAAGGAAAAAAAAATAAATATAAAAAAAAATGCCTCGTAATGAAGTTCATGTATCAAGTCGTGCTGGATTGCAGATAAAGTCACATGTATAGTAGACTTAATGTGTGACTTGATAATGCCTAATTGTTGATCCTAACTAAGAGTTTTCCAAAAACCCTTAACCACTATAAGAACATATAGCTCAACCACAAAAACCCTACGAAAGGAATGTATACTCCTGTGAATTATTTTATTTTATTATTATGACCACTCCACCTAAACTCCACCTAAGTCAAGAAGTGGAAATGTGCAAGTTTTGCCCCCAAAATTCTCACACAAGCCTAACTTCTCCCTCTTCCCCAAAAGTACAACAACCCTGAATGTTATAGTAATTGTTATCTTTGTCCCACACATGCATTCTCTTATTCCATTCATGCAGGGAACTAAACAACATATATAGTTTTTTTTTTTATTAAAAAGTTTATTTTTACATCATTTTGCACATTTTTTTTTCATCTCAATTGTAATCCCCACGGGTTTCCCATCACCAAATCACCCCTGTGCCACCACCCTAGTCCCGTGCATTTCCCTCCCTTCCCCCCTCCCCCGTTTTTGGTCCCATTCCCCACTCCACCCCCACAGAATGTCTCTGGTCCATGGTTGTTCATTATTTTTGTTATTTTCTCGCCTGGTCCATTATACTCCTGCTATGAGTGAAACCATCCGGTATTTTTCTTTCTCTTTCTGGCTTATCTCACTAAGCATGATCTTTTCCAGCTCTATCCAAGTTGCTGCAAAAGACATGTGTTTCTCTTTTTTGGTTGCTGAGTAATATTCCATTGTATATAACAACATATATAGTTTTAAGGGAAACATGTGTAAAGAATACTTTAAGTCTAAAGATATCTGCCAATCATTAAGAAATAAAACTACTGGGCCCTCCCTGGTGGCACAGTGGGTTAGGATGCAGCACTGCAAGCTGGCCACAGCAGCTTCAGTGTGAGTTTGATCCCTGGCCCTGGAGGTGATCCACATGGCACAGCAGACCTCTCCTGATCTGCCTGCTGCTCCCCCTCAGCAGTCCCACTCTGTCTCCGGTGAATCCTCTCACTGCCGCTGCACCTCTGGCCTGCACCCCCCTTCTGTATGCATAAATAAATACATCTTTAAAAAAAAAAAGAAAGGAAGAAAACTACCAATTGGACTGAAATCGCATGGGTTCTGTGTTCTCAACTCAATGTCACTCTCGTGCACTTTCACATTATCAGGAAGGCGATGCGAGATATGATGTTGTTTTACATGTTTTAATACTCGGAATAAATCAGGCTATGTATTTCCCAGCGGCTTGCTTTACTAGCTCAACATCCTGCATCCGTACAGCACTCACATCGGCCTGTCCTTCCCATTCATTTGTTTTCGTGATGACAAGTGCAGGTATCACACAGTAACTGCCCCACCCGCCTCTTGATGGACATCGAGATATTGTTTCCATGGATTTGATATCATGAAAGCATTAGGTGGAGCATCCTGAAAACACTTTTCTTGGGCTTATGCACAAGGAAGAACTGCTGTAGGGCACAGACTTGGCAATTTTTTCCTGTAAAGGGCATGATAATAAATATTTTAGGCTTTGTAGCTACATAGTGTATTTGACCTACATTATTATTTTATTTTTAACCACAACTCATATTTGAAACATAGCTTTTAATATCATGGCAAAGGACACAAAGCTATAATTACATCTATGAAAGATAAATAAAATACACAATATGACATAATATTGAGACTTATTATGTCTACTGATATTTTCAATTTTACTTTATTCTATTCTATTTCTTCTTTTAAATTTATTATTAAATTTACTTTATTCTTTTACATTTATTCTTTTTAAAAAGTCTGCAACCCCTTGAAATGATTTTGTTACTTCTAGTCTACTTAGAGTATTTTTCCTATGGTTTGTTTCCTATAAAATAAAAATTTTAGGGCCCTCCCTGGTGGCACAGCAGTTTAAAGCGCAGCACTGCAAGCTGGCCACAGCCGCTTTAGTGCAAGTTCAATCTCCCATCCCAGAGGTGACCCACAAAGTGCAGCAGAACTTTCCTGCCTCCCCGCTGCTCCCCTCAGCAGTGTACTTCATCAATATGGCTATTCTGCTCCGCACTCTGTCTCTGGTGAATCCTCTCACTGTCCCTGCACCCCAGTTCTATATGCATAAATAAATAAATCTTAAAAAATAAAAATTTTATAAAAGTTAGCTGGTTTAACCTACCATATATATATATTTTTTTGTTAAATCCTATCTACTCTACTTATTCAATACTATTCTAATTTGTCTTACTCATTGATTTTATAAAATCAAAATTGTTGCACCCACCAAATTTATATTTTGACATATTCTCCTCTAGCTTTTCATTTAAAAAGTGTTCATTGACACTCACCAAATGGATTTTTAAATATTTTCTATTCTACTTATTTTAGTCTCCGTTCCATTTTTTATTTTATACAACTAAGTTTGCAACCCACAAGCTTGATTTTTTCCCTGATATTTTTTACTTTGATCTTGCCTATTCTTTCATTTTATAAAAATATCCTTGCAACTGGCTCAATTGATTTTGCAACCTACTACTGAGTGGGTCACAGCCAAGATCTGAAAATCATTCCTGCAGGTCCTCTGTCTTTCCTCTTAGAGACCTTAGACTGAGCCCTGACCTCTGACCTCACCTCCTGCCCTCTTCTGGCCCCTGCCTCTCTTAGGTCTTCCTCTTCTAAATCCCTCCAGTCTTATTCGAAAATTCCTTTTATGCGTTAGGACCCTGCAGGTGTTAGGAACTGGCTGCCCTAATTCAGGCTGAAGCTGGTAGTTCTATCTCAGTCCTGAAGGTGGTGCCAAGAGGTACCAGCAGGGCCCTGGCAGAGATCCCCAGGCAAGGCCAGGCCAGGTGGCCAAAGGGCCCTGATTCCCAAGAATGGTAATGTGTGATGCCAACATTGGCTATCCTAGATGGGGGGGGGGGGTTTACTGAAACCCCACGTTTTCTTTGGCATATATGACACTTTGGGAAGATTCATTGACTCAGTGTTTCCTCATATTAACTTGGGTCCAAGTTCAAAGAAAGCCCATGGTAAGCAAAGACCAGCTCCACCCCTACCCTGGTAGGACGATGTAAATCAACGATGCACTTGATAATGAACCAGGTCATTTCTGATAGGGGCAGCGAAGAGCAATGAGATAAAGGAAGAGGAGGCGGGGTCTCAGAGCTAAGAGTGAGGAAAGTTCTTGGGACAGATTTTCTTTCAAATGGTACTTAAGCTTGGGTCATGCAATGACCCAAGCAATGGGTCATGGCTTTCAAAATTCTACAGGTACAAAGAGTAGTGGAAATGTGCAGAAATTGGAACCCTCACCTGCTGCTGGTGGGGTGAAAAATGGGGCAGTTAGTGGGAAGCTGCAGCATGTTCTCACACGGAGAAACAGAGTTAACGTAACTCAGCGAGGCCACTGCACGCACCTAATCGAGAGCCGCCAAAGGTACATCCGCGCAACACTTGCACACACCTGTTAACAGCGGCGTGATTTGTAACAGCCAAGAATAGAAACAGCTCGTGTCCATCAACCATCACAATCAAAATGTGATGCAGCCCACAAGCGAGTGTCAGCCAGTCATCCACAGCAAGGACGCGCCGAGACACAGTGCAGCGTGGGTGGACGTGAAAACACTGCGTTACGTGGCGCACGTTTGACGTCAGAGCTCACGCAGGGCGTGATTCCAGGTATAGGAAATGCCGTGCAGGCAAATTCAGAGAGATAGGAAATCGGGTTCTGGTTGCGGGGGTGGCATGGGAAAATTGCACAAGAGATGCAAGATTTCTTTTAGGGGTAATGAAAGGGTGTGACACGGACGTTGGTGACAGTGAACATTGAAAATCATTGCACTGTAAACTTTGAAAGGTGACTTATAAGGCATGTGGTTAGATCGCAGCAAAAATGCTTTTTAAAAATATGGAAGGGGACAGCTCCCCCTCGCTCGCCAGGGTCCTTCTAGAGGCAGCTTCTGCTGCAGGCTCCGCTGCCCTTGCAGAAACCCTCGCGCCTGCGCACCTCGTTTCTGCCGCTGATGGCGCCGGCTGGGCCCGTCGTGCTGAACTTCGCTTTGTTCCCTCAACCCAGGACTTTGAGTTCCGACAGGGAGCGTGGCGCCTTTCTGTGTTGTTTTCTTTCTTTTTCTCTTGACAATATCTATAGATTATTCCTTGGGCTAATTATCTCTCCTCTTAATAGTTGCCTTAGCCACACACATTTTAAGTTGGCTCTAATTCTTTGCCATTTTACAAACAACACGTCTAGAGCTCATGTCACATCGGAGAAATAGTATCAGTAAGAGAAATTTCTAGGAGCCCTCCCTGGTGGCGCAATGGGTTTAAATACAGCACTGTGAAGCTACCCACAGCCACTGCAGCATGAGTTCGATCCCCGGCCAGGGAGCAGACCCCCATGGCACAGTAGTCCTTTCCAGTCTCCCCATCGCTCCCCTCAGCTTGTCAATCTGCCTGTTCTGCTCCCCACGTTGTCTCTGGTGAATCTTTTCACTGCCCCTGCACCTCTGGCATGTACTCCAGTTCTGTATACAAAAATCTTTTAAAAAGAGAGAGAAATTTCTAGAAGAGAATGGCTGGAGCAAAGTGTACATTAGTTTTAATTTGGATAGATACAGCCATATGGCCCTCCCAAGAGGTTATGGCAATGTATTTACCCATCAGCAAAGCAGATGAGTTAAAACATGATTTCTGAGTAAAGATTTGAAGAAAGGGCCCTCCCTGGTGGCTCAAGGGTTACATTCCAGCACTATGAAGCTATCTGCAGCCACTGCAATACCAGTTCAATTCCCAGCCAGGGAGTGACCCACAGGGCGCAGCAGACCTCTCCTGTCTCCTGCTGCTCTCCCAGCAGCGTACTTCAGTGGATCTGCCTGTTCTGCTCCACGCTCTGTCTCTGGTGAGTCCTTTCACCCCTGCACCTCTGGGCTTGTTCTTGTATGCATAAATACATGAATCTTAAAAAAAAAAAAAAGCTCTGAAGAACGAAGAGGGCTGATTTGCCTCCCTGTGCTCTGGGCAGAGGATACACCAGGGCAAACGCCCTGGGACAGGATGCAGCATGTGGCGGAAACAAAGAGGAGGCCTGTGTGACTGAATCAGGGTGGAGGGAGAGAGGGAAGAGACACCGGCAGGGAGAGGACAGGGCAGGGCCTCGGAGGGCCGTGGGGGCCACCGCCTGGCTCCCCTCTGGCTGCTCTGAGAAAGCACTTCTACCTGGTCAGGCGCCCTCATTTCACCCCTGACTCAGAGAGGTAACCTCGGTGTCCCCCTGCCTGCACCATCTATCCTTTGAAAAACGGCAAGGAGTTGGCTTCTCCACCCCCACAGCCTCTGCCCACAACCTTCAGGGCTCCCTTCTCACTCAGGAGAAAGGCCCAAATCTCCCAGCACCTACGACCCTGCACAACTGCCCCACCCCACCCCACCCCCTGCGCTGCTCCCCTCCCTTCTTTCTCCTTTGCTCACTCGGCTCCAGCGCTGTGAATCCCTGTTATTCTGCCAACAAGCCAGGCATAGCACTGCCTCAGGGCCTTTGCACGTGCTGGGGCTGCTTCCTGGAAGACTCCACCTTCGGATAGCCCCATGGCTTTCTTCCTTTCCTCTTTTGATTTTCTGTTAAAACGTCACTTTCTCAAAAAGGCCACCTTTACCCCGTCTAGTTAAACAGTACTGAATACCCCAAAAAAGTATTTTCATACTCTCAAAGTTTAACGACAGCTCCCTTTGTTGCTGTGAGAATGGCGTCCGTCCTTCCTACTTACTGGGCACGTCCTCGGGAGACAACGAGTTAGTGCTTAACTCTCCTCCCAAGCACCTAACAAGGCAAGTAGTTTCACGATTATTCCCAATGGACAGATGAGGCTCTGTGAGGTGTTGTTAACTGCCCCAGGTCATCAGCTGAGGAAGTGCCCGGCTGGAAGATCTCCAACCTGGCCCCAGCCGATGCTATAGCGTTTTGCTCCAACTCCAGTCTTGTGCAACCTGCACCCAAAGCAGCTTTGCAGGACTCCCAGAAGGGCATCGCCTGCTTAAGGTCACACACATGGCCAAGTGCACCTGCTAAACGTTCAGGCCTGCACATCCTCTCAGGGCCAATCTACCCCTCCAAGCCTCTCTAGGGATTGTTTGGGTCATCCCATAAGATTGGCGGGGCTAGTGATCATCCTTGTTGCACAGATAATAACACCACTAGCGACGAGATTTATGGGGCACGCCACCACCCCCAACCCATGCCAGGCACTGTGCAAAGCCCTGGACTTGCATTCCATCTACGCATTGTTCCTTCTAGCTCCTAGGAAGCAGGCTTTATCTGTGAGCTCATTTTACAGACAAGGAAACGCAGGCACAGAAAGGCAACGTCCTTGCACAGGGCCACAGAGCAGAGTGGGTGGGCACAGGGGTTTTAACCTGGCCGTCTACAGTGGAAAGGCCAGCCCTCCCAGCCACACGGGTCTGGTAGCAATGGAGTCCCCAGGGAGTTGACGTGACTTTGGTCAACGATACGCCAGCCACCTGGACTTCCGGCTCTGCACCTGGCCTTCACGAGCTCTCCACTGAGGCAGACCCAAGCCATGTGTCCTTCCTTTCCCCTGCTAGGAGGCCACCCCTTTTCCTGGCTTCTTAGACGATGGGGGTGCATGTCTGAGGGCCACAGGCGGGACCTGCACAAGTGCCCCGGCTCTCTCTCCCCAGGGTCTCACTCGGTCCTGACTCACCGGGACATTTGGTCTGTGCCGGGCACTGTGCAGGTCTGAGCAGCATGCCCAGGCTCTACTCAGTAGCACCCTCTAGATCCTGCCCAGTCTCCCCAGTGGGGCACCCCCCAGCCCCAGGTGAGAGCTGCTGCTTTAGTTCTTGCCTTGGTGTCTGAGTCCCCTTTTGACAATGTGCTGGTACTGGGGAGTGGCCAATATCTGTCTTGCTCCCCCACTGGGGCTTTTTCTGTCTCCTGCCCACCTACTTTCCCCTTCCTGCAGGGGAGCTTGGAGGACAAGTCCCACCTCTGCTTCTCCCCCATGTCTACCTGCACTGGTTTTTCTTTGAAGTTTGAAGTCCCTTGAACCAACAAGTACATTCGCTTCTTGGCTAGGATGCGCTCTCGACCCATGCAGGAAGCTTGCAGAAAATAGGAGACGTGGCCCATCTTGCTGGTGAACGTAGAAAGAAGCCTGGGAGGTAAGTTGAAATGGAAGTCAAAGGTGTGGCTGCCTGCACTTAACCAATTATCTGAAAGCAAAACATACCAATGCCATCAGAAGGTTCTAGAATTTTTTCCCTTTCATTTATTGTTTTGGTAGGGAGGTTCTGGACCTGGTTTGTCTGTCCCTGAGCTTGGCTGAGATCTGTGCTTTGAGGGACCTGCATGGTCCCTACATATTTATCCAAGAAGAAAACACTGGGGGTTGGGCTCAGCTGGTCAGGTACACGGTGTGGCCGATCACTTGCTTGCCCTTACTGTGGGCCTTCACGATTCAGCTGCACATTCATTCAACAATCTTGAGCATCTACTGTGTGCTAGAGGTTGTTTTAGGCAGCATTCACAGCAGCGAGCAAGGCACACAAATACCTCTGCCCTCATAGACATTGGGCTTTTGTGCATTGCAAACTGTAAGTGCTTGGTTGAGAGGTGGCTGAGGACCAGGGTGGGACTCAAACTACCCCCCTTTCTGTGATCTCCCCATTTATTTATTTTGCTTGCATTTCTCCAAAACCCCTTTATCATCATTTCTTCTGCACTTAATGCAACCCTAAAGACTCGGGGGTCCTCTGCCTGGTTTGTGACCCTGTGAGCTCCTGGCAAGAGCTGTGTGAGTGAACCCATGCCAGCTTCAGGTTCAAGCTCTAGGGAAAAGGCTTTGGGGTGGGAGAGGGTGTTACCTAATGCTGGGGAGAGTTTCGGTTGAAAGGACTAACGCTTAGTAAGCACTCACTGTATAGCCCTTCACATGCAGTAAGCCCTCAAGCGCTCCTACTCCCATTTTATGGAAGGGGTAATGGGGACAGAGTTGACACAATTGCGTTCCTTTCCTGTATAATCCCCCGGCCAGCATCTTCCCCACCACCCAGCTCTGAGTTTAGCTTAGCCCTGTCACAAGCAACCTCCGTAACCACCCATCTAGAGTCTAAAATTAAATTTCATTCAAATATGGGCCAAGTGTTCAACTTGGCCATGGAATACCCAGATACAGCCCTCGTGAACACGTTTTGGGACGGACATGTGTCTCCCCACCTTGAGATCAGAATTGTGGGATCCTTCCTTGACAGGTTCCCCTGCCTTCTGCCTCCAGTCTCTTCCCTACGGCCACAGAACTCCGTGGGTTTCACTGAGTCGTGTTTATGGGCAAAATCACAGAAAGGGTTTTTAAGGGCCACCCAAAGGGGGTTATTGGGCTGAGAATGGCATTTTCAGGGTGACTCCTTTGCAACTTCATTTTGGGGGTCTGGGCTCTGGCTCACTTCTTATGTTATTTTTGTGTCTCTGATGGTTATTGTTCTATGCGGCTTCCCTCCTGGGGGGTTGTCCACTTCTCTTTCCCTGGGGGTTTATTGATCCCTAAGGCGGTTTCCCTTCCAGACCCAGGTTCCCACTATGGCCAGGGTTGGCTGTTGGTCTTGTCCTTACCCTCCACTGGGAACGTCTTTGTCTTATGCACGTAGTCAGCCTTGTTGTTGCAAATAACATCTCTGCTATAATCACGGGATGCCCCGGTTTCTTCATTCCACTCCACGTAACCCCTTCCCACGAGCTCCACCTTCACTATGGGGTCCACAAGTGTGCTGTTCAGGGTTAAGACCACCTCCCCTTTTATGCTGGAGCCAGCCAGGTAGATTGCATCCTTGGGCAGCACTAACTCGATAGACTTCACCACAGACATGGGGGGTTAGGGTAGTAGACAAACATCCTTCCCTCCCCCATGCCTTGGTTGAGCTGAGGTCACCTGTCTGTGACATCATCCATCCAGGGTTCCGGGAGGCAAGGATGTTGGGTGGACGGCAGCTTGGAAATCCCAGAGTCCTCACTGGATTGTGCAAGAATAGACTGGTGGGTTGTTGTGTTTGTTTGTTTTTTTCCCCTAGGAAACAAACAACCATCACAAACCCTGCTTTTCCTGCCACACAGGGAATCCCAGTCATGCCAGAGTTTAGGGACCTGTGTTTGAGGAATTCTTCCAAACACTCTGGTGAAGTAGGCATTGAGCTCCAGTTACAGATGCAGAGGCCTGAGGGTGAGCCCAGAGGTATTTTTTCGCTCTAACGGGTGGCCCACAAATATGGTATGTGCCCTTCTCAAGGTTCACATAGGGGCTTGGGGTGATACACATATAACAATTATCATTTTAATGGCTGTCTATTTATACCAGTCTGTGTTAGAAAAAAATCTGATAAAGCCTCAATATGCTCAAAGCATTGTGTGCTCCATCTAAACATAGACACTGTCATGAAGCACCAACTCCTTGTACAACCAACTTTCATCTTCCTGCCTGTGTCTCCCCATTAGAGAGGACATCTCTGCCCCTCTCCTCCACCTCCATCCCCCAGTATGGGTCTTTCTCTCTGTGTCCACCAATGGCAGCTTGACTTAAAGTCTGGTTCAGACAAGGGTGGGTTGGCAAGAAAAATTTGTTGAATGACTTAATGACCTTTAGGAGCATGTCATGTTACAGAGAGGAAATTGAGACCCTTTGCACCCTAGGGGTTATTCCTGGTCTCTTTTGCAGGGGTAGGTTAGTGCCCAAGTGGAAGAGACAACAAACCAAGAGAAGTCTAGAAAGTGCCCATTTTCTGGTCCTCCCTGGTGGTGCATTGAGTTAAGGCACAGCACTGCAAACTAGCTGCAGCTGCTTCAGTGCGAGTTCAATTCCCTGCCCTGGAGGCGACCCACATGGTGCAGCAGACCTCTCCTGTCTTGCCCGCTGTTCCCCTCAACAGTGTACTTCAACATTCTGCCTGTTTTGCTCCCCACTCTGTCTCTGATGAACCCTCTCACCACCCCCTGCACCTCTGGCCTCTACCTCAGTTCTGGATGCATATATAAATAAATCTAAAAGAAAGAAAGTGTCCATTTTCCAGACATTGGCCATCCTCACTCATGGTCCCTATTGAGTCCTTCACTTAACATTGGATGCATTTTGTGGACCTCAACGTCTTTCTAAGAGGCTTGTAAGCTGCTTAAGCGATGCTGGCATGGTCACCTACCCACATTACCTCATTCTTTACCCAAACAACCTTGCTGGCGTTCTTGAAATGACTTGAGTAATGGGGCCCTGCCTCACCCTCCCTCACAATCTTTTCTGCAGGGAAAGCCAGACACCTCTTCCTGTGTTAACTTCAGATATCTAAGCAACCTGGGTTGTGGCCTTCAAACACAAGTGAAGAGTGTATTCCTGCTTTTGGGTGTGCTGATTTGCAGCCGCAGGCACAGACACGATAGGCTCTCCCCAGGACGAAGGCAGCTTCCTGCAGCAGGTGTGATCAATTTGGATCTTATTTGCTTCACAAACTTGGTTAGGCTATCACTCCCTGCTCGCTACCTGTGGTGCCGGCTACCCATGACGGATGGGTGAGTGTTGAGAAATGTACTCAGTGGCACTGATGGAGTCCTAAAGTTGGAGAAAGTTAACAGCAGTTTCTGGACTTTGTAAATTGAACTGTATTAGTTTATTGTGGCTACTATAACAAATTACTACAAATGTAGCAGCTTAAGACAACTCAAATTTGTTCTCCATATTGGCCAGACATCAAAATGGGAATGAAGGGGCTAAAATCAAGGTGTCCCAAAAGTTGAGTTCTAGGGTTCTAACTGAGAATCTTCCACTGAACCTTTTCCAGCTTCTAGAAGCTTCCTAATTCTTTGCCTTTTGGTCTCAACATTCCAATTTCTACTTTTGATGTCTCCATGACCCACATGCCTTTCTTCACCCATATGGAGGCATTTGGTCTAAGGACCATCATCCTAAGAGATGGAGTTTTACCCCACCTGCAAAATCCCTTTTGCCATGGGAGGCACCATATTCATAGGTTCCAGGCATTAGGATGTGCACAACTTTGGGAGAACCATTATTCTGTCTACCACTTGGGGAAACAAAAGCAGAAGTACTAGCGTCAACATGAAAGGGACCCCTATGTACAGTAAACCAGAGAAACCATGTAAAAACAGAAAACTCATCACTTTTCTGCTCTCTGCCCTCCCATGCTGTGTGCTGTGCTCAAGGAAAACTCTAGTCTTCCTGGTAATCTGCAGGGTCGGCTGGGATACTCCTTTGATCTCACCTGCTTGCACGCTCCCTTGCGCTGAGTGTGTCCAGCTACACTGGCCTCCTGGCTGACCCTCCTCCACCTGTAAGCCTTTACTGCCCTCCTAGCTTGCCCTTCCTTCCTCCATTCTCTGGTCTTTTTCTCAGCTGAGATGGTATCTGCTGAGGGAGGCCCACAGCATTCACTTTAACCAAAATGGACCCTCCCCACCCCCACAAGGCCACCCCATCACTCTCCAGCTATTGTTTTAAGCATTCATTTCTTCATTGTAATCAGTAACATCTGAAATGATTTGCTTTATCCATTCATTTCTTGTCTCCCCAAGCCAGAATCGGCCCTTCTGGAGACCCCCAAAAGGAGGGGGTCTGTTGAGTCCCCTAGCTCTGAGCGCCCTGCCCAAGAACTCTGTAGGTATCTAACATGGGTCACTGTATGCCCAAGACTGGCCAGAGAGGAGGAGACGAGGCCTAGGGGGCAGGGCGGCCCTGCCCTCCTGGACAGCCCAGGAAGGCGGGAAAAGGAGGCGGGAAAACCAGCAAACAAACCCTGCGGGTGGGTAAGGTGGGAATTGCAGACCCTAGAACTGGAGCTAAAGGAGATTAGGTCGGCTATGGACGAACAGGGGGTCTTGCGGGGGGCAGGGGGGGCCTCACATTTGCTCCTGTCACCCTCCCCCTAGTGATTCGACCTTCCTTGCCCTACCGGTCAGTGGGTGCCTGGACAGGGGGGTTGTGCGAATTGATTTAAAGAAGTCAAGGGGTTTCTAGCCTGGGGGGGATTGTTCCTAGGGGCCACGCAAAGTTGGGGGGCCAGGTCCCGCCACCAAGCCCCGTTGCACGCCGGGTGCGCCCAACAGAGCGCGCAGTACTGGGCGGGGCCTTGGACCGCAGGGCGGAGTGGGGGGGGGTGGACAGAGGCGGGGGCGCCCCCCACCCCCTTTCTCGCTTCCCGCCACTGTGGCGGCCAATCACCGGGCAGGCGCCCGCCCCGGGCACGGCCTCCCGCGGCCCCGCAACTCCCAAACGCTGAGTTTTCGCGGGAAAAAAAATCAGAGCAGCCGGCGCAGTGGGCAGTGCAGGCTGTCCAGGCGCTCCGGTAACAAGCGCGTCCTTGCGGGGCCCGAACCACGTTCGCGGCTCCATCGCCACCCCCAGCCGGGCCAGGCACGCAGGCAGGCGAGTGGATCAGGGCGGCCGGAAAGGTGAGCGGCCCGGGTGATAGCAGTGCCAGCCCAGCCCGGGAGAACGCGGCGCGCCAGGCGCTGAGAGCTGGCAAAACTTTCCGGAGCTGCCCGGGAAGCTTGGCCAGCATGGGCGCACGCTTGCCCCGCGCCGGGGCTGTCCGGCTCGCGTTCTCGGGCTCTGCCTGGCTCCCCGTCGGCCGTTAGGAGTAGCCGTGGGCACACCGGGCTCCGGCCAGGGCCAGCGGAACATGCCCGGAGCCCCGCGGGGGTCTTGCCGGCTGTGTGGGGGAGGGCCCGGCGAGCCGCGGGGGAGGATGTCAGGCTCCGCGCCTGCGCGCGGGGCGCCCCGCGATTCAATTGTCGCGCCCGGGCCCGATTTCGCGCGCCCTTAGTTCCCCGGGCGCGTATGCGCCAATGGGAAGCGAGCGGGGCGGAGCGGTCGGGCGCTGCGAAGCCAATGAGCTCTCTGGCTCAAGTGAAAGGGGGCGGGATTTGGCGCGCGGGGCCCCTGAGCCGGTCCGGGTGGTGGGGGTGGGCGTGGGCTAGCTGGCGTGGCCTGCACGGGCGGGAGGGAGTATAAGAGGGGCTCTGGGGCGGTGGGCTGGGGTCCGGAGAAAGTGAGCCGACGCGCGGGGCCCCGGGGAACTGCGGTGAGTTGCGCGGCGCGCGCGGGGGTGGCCGGGACGGGGCGGCCGGTTGCTATGGCCACCGCGGGGCCGCCCCCGCCGCGCACGCGTGCGCGGGGGTGGCAGGGGGCCTCCCCCGCAGAGGGGTCTGGGGGTAGCGAGTCTCGGGCGAGATCCCCCTCCTTGCTCATACTTTGTTGAGTTCCCCCGGGACTTAGGAAGTTCCGAACCGTGCGGGACTTTGAGGTTTTTCTCTCGTGTCAGTATTCATCTGGGGAATGAATGAATGAATGAACGAACACACGAGCAAACCCCGCCACTCGCCTTTTGACGGCGTCCGCCTTACTTCTCTGTAGTTTGGTGTTTGCGCCCCTCCAGAAGGCGGGGTGTGTGGGGGGGCGGCTAGGTTAGGGGGGCGCTGGATCTGATTGAGTAGTTCGAGCAGCCTTTGCCCTTCTCTTAATTGCAGCTCCCTCTGCAGTCCTCCAGCGGCTGGTCATTAGTGCATTAACGCCTTAACTGACCGCCGGGCCCTGAGCCCGCTCTCCCAGTCAGTAGGGCCTAAGGGATTGAGGGGCCCTTTCGGGAGTTTCCTGGTATCCACAGACTGGACAAAAGCAGGAATGACCAGCCTATGGCATGACTGGTGTGACTGGCGGAACTGACCCAGGGGTTCTGCTCTCTCCCTCAGCACCAGCAGACACCATGTGGATCCAGGTTCGTACTATGGATGGGAAGGTGACCCACACTGTGGACTCACTGTCCAGGCTGACCAAGGTGGAAGAGCTGAGGAGAAAGATCCAGGAGCTGTTCCACGTGGAGCCAGGCCTTCAGAGGCTTTTCTACAGGGGCAAGCAGGTAAACCAGCCCTGCAGGCTGTCTGCCGCCCGCCCTGCACCTTTGTTCTTCGCTGGGCCGGGCGGCCACCAGCACATACACTCTCCCCCCTTGTCCGGTATGCTTCACGTCTCCACAGAAACCTCAAATGCCTGAGTGAGGAACAAAGAACTGACTCTCGGATTGACACACCGGGCAGGCAGCTGGCACTGGAATCTGCAGCATTTGTGCTAATAAACTATTCCC